TTCAAGGCAGAGCCTTTTCCGATGCTGTTTCCCTTCTCGTCCTTTGCTCAGGCTGAATTCGGAGGTGGCAAAAAGTAATTTACATACATTTTCCCATTANCCCCCTTCGACTTTGAGTGAATAATAACCAGCGGATTCCATAAACAAATTGCATTTCCAACTGATCTATTTGGAGAAGCCACTAGCGGATGCCGACCGCCTTGCCTTCTGCAGATCCAGCAAGCTTTGTCCACAGAACGTGAACGGATTACCTCTGATTTTCGCTAATATCTACTTCATTAAATCGGAGCTCTCAAATCAGTTGTAATGAGATAAGCGTTTTCCTCTTCCGACTTCCTGATCAGGGGTTTCTCGATGAAAACCCTGATGACATGAACATTACTCATGAACAGGATTAGCCACTCCACGTATACAAAATACAATGCAATTAAGAAGCCTATCATATGGGATCCCCTCTTTGTACAATCTTTGCAACCCTGCAAGCACTTCCACCCAAAAAACGTCCATTCATAATTGTCTTTCCCTAAGTCCCTTTAATCGACAAATGTGTCTATTGTGCGGCTAATCCGTGGGAGTGGGACGCAGATCTTTCCAGCCTCTGCAGAGTTGGGAATGGGAGTCGATCAAAGATGCCTTCTTCCTAGTCGTATACATAATCCAAACATTCAAAGTGACGCTCCTCCGACGAATGCGTTTCCATCGACACGCGACTTGCCAATTCCACTGCTACTTATGGTCTATCACGATATGACGGTAAAAACAACCTGACTCAAGTTGTCACAGAAAAATAGAAAACCTAAGCCATGTAAACATCGGTACCAAGCCGAAAGGCCGATTGAAGAACGAAATTAGCTGCAGAATCAGGACAAAACAGAGTCAGTAATGAAAACAACCACGTAACAGAATCAATAGTAAAATAGAATTTTCCTGAACTACCTCCTTCCCGAAAACTGTGTCATAACCGCTCATGCATGGAATTGACCAACAAAAGCGATACTCCCAACCCCAACAATGCGCTCCCTATAGGCTCTATATGATTTTCACAGCCCCATTCAGCAAACGAACGTTCGTGCCCGTCCTTGCATGCATTGCATCGTGGGGTTCGGTATCGCGTGCAGATCGCCAGCGTCATTACGTGCATTCGCAGCCGACCGTAACATGACTACAGCAGCCAGTTATAACAAGACCAGCTCTGCTCAACTACTCCATGGGTAGTTACGGCTGTGTACGTGCGCGGGTGTGAGGGCGATGAGAACACAGTGAAGCGAGAGGAAGGCATGGGGAGACAGTTCTCTTTCTTGAGGTACTTCATCTGACTGGTAGAGGTCAAATGTTGATAAAGTCCTATGGCAGTAAATCTACAAAAACCAAACAAAAAAACTAATATAGATTTGGAAAAAAAAATCAGTCGACTCACTTTGTCTCGTACGTTTCGCTGTAAATCAGCACCTTTAAACAGCCAATGGGTAGGAGATTCGACAGCGCAAGAATCAGCTGTTTTGCCAAAGCTCGGTCAGGACTTTCGACAACGACCTGAAACGATGCTCAGTGATATTAAAGGAAAGTACAAAGCGATAATTGGTTGTGAGAAAGTACAACGTGATAATTGGTTTTGAATTCCCATTATTATGCCAATGGACTTCGAGAAGGACCTTCTGTGTCTTATTCAGTGTGAACCTCACGTTTTCTAGTTTCAGAAATGATTGAATATCGGAAGAAAAAGTCGAAATATCCCTCACTGAATTAGCAAATAACAATTTGAAACGAAATGACGGCTCCAGTGAAGGACTGCAAGCTCCCTAGTTCTACATGAATCGAAATATTCAACTCGAATTAAAGATAGGTATTGATTGCATTGAAAATCAACCAATTTCACGAAGCGAGGAATAGTTACTACAATACAGACTATAATCACATTTTTCCAGAAAAAAAGCAGTTTGGATTACTAGACCGCATGTTTCTTTCTCAATTCATGGTCCAGTTTACAGGCTAGAGCGGAGTAAGAGGATATTCACTCTTACATGCTTCACCAAGGCTTTTTATTATAGGAATTCAACGTGAACACAGAAAGATCAATGATCGACAAAGCCATGGGGATGAGTTTACTACGTAGAATTGCTGTTCACCAACTCATTCCAAGCTTATGCTGCGAATGACGAAAGTATGATCAGCAGCAACATCCCTCATGAACATTTCTGTCGACTTTCAATGCGCGTTCTCTATGACGCGTTCAAAGAACCTTTTTTCCTACGAAGAAAAAGAATGCGGACAGAAAAATTTTGATAATTTTGATTTTGAAATGGACCAGGGTTGACTGATTCCTCATACCGATATTTTCGGCTGGGTATCGAAAAGAACGGCCACAGCGGATTAATACGGATTGACTGCTCCATCGGCAGATCGTTCAATGCGGATATTCTTTATGACATTTTTTATGACTTTACCCTGAACAAAACATTGCGAGTGTACCATTATCGACTTTCTACTCCTGCGATTCCAAACAGATCATGCACACCATTCTAGCTTCAGACGCGGTGAGCGTCCGCCGGCTTTAGATTCACTATCATTCAAAAGAATTTATAAGTAGACGCTACACTGAAAGTATGACGACTTTCTATGAACGACAACGTCGACGAACTTTCAAATCCTTGAAATGCCTTTCATCTTTCGTCTTTTGCAGATAAGCTACGATAATCTGACACCCCAGTTCAACGTACCACAACCATCAGAAAAATGTGATTGGCATCGTTAGGAAAATGATGGGGTGTATGAATTATCGCGGAAGCTTCGAACCCCCGCTTTGATGCAACATTGGAATAACACAGTATTCTTTATGTATGAGCTGCTGTTGCCTGAGAAGAAGGGGAAACTCAAGACGTGCTGCTGTAGCCTTGGAATAAACTCAGGCCGATTCCGTTAGGCTTAACACCTTACCGTACATTTTTGTCTTTCTAACTGTAATTCCCTTTATAGAACATCAAAATGCCCATTCAGGAACGAAGTAATATTCAAAGCAGCCACTCTAACCTTACAGCTATTGACTAAAATTTCCACCATTTACATGTGCAAATGCTAAAATCCCTAGGAAAAGGGCTTCAATTGTGTCAAAACGGTCAAAACGAAGAAACAATATTAGCTGCACAAAAGCTACTCAACGGTTTGCGTCCCTCCTACCGCGTCTAGTGAATCCCTGATCACAGCTATTTTCGACTTCCTGTCTAACCGTCTTTCACTTCGTCTTGAAATGAATTTTTTAAAAATTAACTCTCCTATCTGAGCTATATCAACCACATTTCAAGACTAGCACATGCTTCCTAAGAAACTTCCACATCACTCGAACTAAACTGTCATAGACGCTACTGAATAGGGCGAGTGAATCTGAATGAAGCAGTACACCAACTTCCCACGAGATAGTTCACAAAATCAAATTCAGTTATGCGATAAGGTTACTGAACTCATAGGTAAGCTTTATGCTTTCACAGGCCTCAATCGTGTGATACAAACACTCCACTGAGCTCTTCCACGGTCGCCTTACAATGAGAGTCTATATTCGCACCAGTTTGGAAGGAGCACTTTGCGCGCTACGATTCCGTCACGGCGTTGATCAGAGAAAAAATGGACCGCAATAATTGAGGGTTCTAAACTACGAGCAAAATCGGAAGCTATAGGTTGGGCGCACCTACACTTTGAAGGTTTGCAGGCAACTACCACACCACGACCTTCCTTCACCACCTCTGATGGTCTTATTTACTACAATCAGTAAAAGAAAGTACATGATCAACAAATCTTTGGCGGCGCTCATGAAATAATCCACTCGAACGACACCCTGCATTGTCATGACGATTCTCGCATTGCAAACTATGGTGAGCCCTATGATGAAGAAACACGACTCGCTAGTTATTTGCATTCTTTTACACATTTGCTTTTATTTAAATTTATCTTCAAAAAAACGTTGTAGTTTCTGGTAGACGAAGAAGCTACCATAACCAGACAGTGGCCGTATGAGGGAGTGGAACGAGCATCTTCATGGGTAGCACATCGAAAGGAGAAAATGCTACTTACATTCGGGTTAATTAATCTGATGGGTAGTGAAAGAAATTAAACGCGGTGTTGTCAGCAGATGTTCAAGGGCGATAGCGAGGAAGTCCTGTCTAGTGACGCGTCGGTCGGCAGCCGCTAGCTGTCGGATGTGTATGGATGTCGATACACAAGGGAGCGCTACCCCTAGAGCTCGTTTTCGATCTCTGACTTTGAGCAGCCGCAGGAGCAATCAACTACTTCACCCTTTCCCCCATAAAAACCTATAATTCCACTCCCAACAACATTTACGGTATCATTTAGCGACGCACTTCCCGTACCCCTCCAATTGCCCTACCATTAATGGTCGACGACGAGGTAACAATCAGTAATTAGAACGCGCAAGCTGCTTGTTAAGGGCACAATCGACACGCAAGCAAAGCCTGACACACTACTAACAAGGAAAATTAGCCTGGATCAAGTATGGTACCCTTCCAACACCATATTCCACGGAAGCATATTTGATGTTATGCCTTCGATTGGAAGAAGAGCATGTGTGCGCGGTGACGGCGCGGATTAGACCAGCAAAGGAGCGTTAATCTCGTATTCCAGCAACGCTCTCCGTGGCCGAGGCTTTCGGCTGTGCAAGCACAACGACACAGACTCCTCACGCCCCAGTGATCAATGACCACACAAAAAGGTAATTATCATACGATGTCAGCACACCTAGCGACGCACTGAATAGTAGAGGTCGCATACGCTTCGCCGCCGACGGCCAAAGTAAACATCGGTACATCCACTGAGGTGTAACCTCACGTACATGTGCACATAGACACACATTTAAAATATGCATATATGTGTATAATAAATAGTGCAATACGCAAATCAGCAATCTTAGTTATGAGTACATACTATTGGTTTCTAGGGAAAACTACCGTGTAGTGAGAAAATCCCAAAGTTCGGGTGTTCAACCATGCTGTGCTTGAGAACCTTTTTTGCCCTTCCTCACTATGAGCATCTGGTCTTCAGCAGTGATCCTCTTAATGTCACCGTGTGAACGTCGGAACAAAAAACTTTTCCAAACAAGAGGACAGCAGGGGCAGCATTTGTATGGAGACAGTTCATCATAGCCGAAAAAGGAATAGCAGGTAGAAGGAGCGAGGAAAAAAGATTTCTGTTCCCACTGTATAACCTTCATGAGACGCGCAGGATGAGGGACGACAGACTCACATAGAATGTATCTATCACAGGTCACTTACTTAAACCCGCTCCCAATCGGATTCAAATTTTAGGGGATGCGGGATTTCCTAATGCATAAAACTGCCCGGTATAGCGCTGTGGCTTCAACTGGAAGCAGTTCTTCCCATCCTTAGATTCTGCGATGAGGGACGATTCTTAAACGAATACGGGACCAATTACTTAATGAAGACTTTTGCGCTTCATCTCGGATACATCGAGCGTACATGAGAAAATATTATCGGCAAATGTTAATGAGAGGAACCTAACAGTTCATTCACTATTCAAGGCAGAGCCTTTTCCGATGCTGTTTCCCTTCTCGTCCTTTGCTCAGGCTGAATTCGGAGGTGGCAAAAAGTAATTTACATACATTTTCCCATTACTCAAAAATCGTGGTGCCTTTCGATGGAAGCAAACATCTCTGTCATGGATACAACGTTTTCTCATGTTCCTATGACAATGATGATTAGATGCATTGAAAATAGGGGCATCCCTCTTGATGGTTTAGAAGCACCCCCTCTTCTTTTTTTGACTCCGTGGGTGTACTCGAGTGGCCGTTGACACTGAATTAACTCGTATGCAATAACCGTCATAGAAGCAAAAGAACTCAGAAAAGAACTTGGAAGAAGCGTAGCTAAGCCGCTCATCAGAAAAAAAAACATCGTTTTCATGTGGGCGGGCGATGAGGCAAGCACGTACCATGCATGCTTCTCCAACATCTTATGAAAAATCAGGCTTATGCAGTGGGTAACTACCATTCTACGTCGCCAATCGCAATTCCTTAACCCTCATGTAAATGAATGAAATAGTTTTCCTTCCCTGCAAAGGGAACCCGCGTCAAAAGTTTTTCACTTGACACCATCGTTCTTGATGGGGGAAGATCGTAAAGTTGTCTATGCCTAGTCAGTTACCCATTCATTTTCGAATAAGTTCGAAAACTTCGTGAGCTGCAGGAACAAAGAAGTGCAGTGAGTGTTTACACACAGTCTGCGTACGTGCATTCGGTGAATTGAGGGCGGAGAAGGCCGTCAGCTCACAACTACAGCGCCTTCGATGGAGACACATCCTCTAATCCAGGCAGTCTCAAGAAAGCCACGTACAATGATAGAGGATTAAGTGTAATGTGTTTGTGTCTAGCGACCCAGCAGCCCCAACCCAAACACTTGGACAGTTTATGACATTTATAAGCTGAACGCGGGTTTCCCCAATTCAAATACCTTTAATGTAACCAGCCTACTACTTTGTCTGTCTGCATGAGTAGTTGAACCAAATTGCTCGATCTCCCTGGACATGTGTGCCGCATAATCATGAGGGTGTAAAATTACGCGAGATCAATAAGGGCTGCGTGCGTGAGCGAGGGTGTGAGTGTTTATGTGTGAAAAACGCACAATAAGTGTACCTTCTTCCCTCATACAGGGGACGTCATTGGACTAGAAACAGGCCATATCACTTACCGTATGCTCGTCACAAATGATAATCAATTATCGGCGACGATATTTTGTCGTCGACGCATGGGAAACCTGCTCAGCCTGAATACGTATCACTACCGTATTCGCTGTCCGATTACGGCTCGCTGATGACCATCCGAATACGGTGATTTTGTAGTACAGGGGAAAAACAACTACGCCATGCATTTCAACCACGCAGGCCAAGTCGAATGCGCATTAGACGGGTCGACGGCGAAAAATAAGAATTTGCAAAACAGAAAGGGCGCCGAGTGGGGATGTAAAAGGAGAAGGGCAGCTATGAGAAGCAAAAAATCTGAGTTATAGGCGACCGTCTGGTCCTTTCCAGCCAAAAGTTGAAAAAGTTGACAAGTGAACGCTGTTGAGAGCAGACGTGTGAAAAGCATACAAAGCGGGAGAAAAGAGAAAAGCAAAGGGAAGTGCGTCAAAACGATCATCAACCGAGAGCGTCGAACAGTTCCTTCGAAATTCAAGGTTTCTACTCTTAACGTTTATA